TCTCTCTCTCTCTCTCTCTCTCTCTCTCTCTCTCTCTCTCTCTCTTTTAGACGGGTCTCACTACGTAACCCTGGCTGGCCTAGACTCACTATACAGGTCAGTAGGCTGGACTCGAACTCCCAGAGACCCACCTGCCTCTGCATCCCTAGTGCCGGGATTAAAGGTGTGCGTCATCACATGCGGCTAAGAAGAAAGGCTTTTATTATTTTATCACAGGCTGGCGAAGATGGCTCAGCGAGAACGGACTCCTAAGTTCAATTCCTGGAACCCACGGTGGAAGGAGAGAATTGACTTCAGCAGCTGGGCTCTGAGCTCGCCGGTACGCTGTGCTGCGCGGCCCCTCCCCCACCCCATTAATTAATAAAGAGCGTATCTGTAACACGGGCACTCCAGTAAAACTTTATTAACTCCATAGTGAAATGTGAATTTCTTTACGAGATCCCCGTTGTCACGAAGTATTCTTCTCCGCCCTCAACTTGTTTAAAATGTGCTGGGCGTTCTTTCTTAGTCCACCCGGTGCTCTAGGTGGCTGACAAAGGGTAGGGTGGTAGCTGGAGGTAGGCGCTACCCGCCCTGGTGGGTCGGGATAGCAGTGAGGAGCAAGGCAAAGCCTCCCGTTTCCCTACAAATGGACCCCAGCTAGATCAGGCCCAGGTAGTCTTCGCCCTCTAGCTGCCCCAAGGAAACCCAACAAGGTTTGTTCCCTCACTCCATCCCAACCCACTCTAAGACATAAGAAGCCATCCGCAAAGCCAGGCGCGGGGCACACACTCGGAGCCCTGCAAGCCCGGCGCGCACCTGCTCCCGGGCCCCCGCGCACCTGCTGAGCCTCGCTCCAGCCTCGTCTCGCGAGATCCGGGCTGGCGTAGTGGCCCCCACCCCCACCCAGGCCACCGAGTACCTCTCCCCGCCCCCCCCCCCCCGGGCCCGGCCTCCCAGCCACCTTGGGGACCAGCCCGGCCCCCCTCCCCACCCCCACCGCACCGTAGCGGCTGCGTTCCGCACGCGAGCCCCTCTGTCCCGAGGGACCCCGCCTCCCGGGCTGGAGGGTGGCCCGGGGGTGGGGGGAGCAGGTGCACGCGCCGCCTGCCGCCAGCGGGTCCCAGGCGCGCCCGGGGTGGGGGGACCCGGGGACCGGCTGCGCGCACGGCGCCTCTCGGCGCTGCATCCCTCGCTCCGCTCCCCACCCCGCCCAGTGATTGACAGGCAAGATGTCGGTGTGGAGCGAGGCAGGAGCGATTGCAGCAACCGTCACCCCTGGAGCCCGTCGGCGACAGCGGCGGCAGCAGCAGCAGCAGCGTTGTCGCGGGGAGCAGACCGCAGCCAGCCGCAGTGGGCGCCGCAGCCGCGCCGGTCGTGCGCACAGCATCCTGAAAGCGCGCTGAGCCCGGGGACCCGCGGACCATGCAGTGTCGCCGCGACCGGGAGGGGGGCAGGCGTGCTCCTTTTTGACATAAAAGCCAGCCGGCCAAATAGATTTTTATATACATATAATTCCACCCTTCACGGAGCCGGTGTGCTAAGCGTGAGCTCTATTTCCCTCTGCCTCCTCCTTCCACTCCTCCTCCTCCCCTTCCTCCTCCTCGCCCTCCTCCTCTTTCTCCTCCTCCTCTCCAAGTGTACAGACTGCACCCTACCACCTGGTTGGCTTCTGACAGACGGGCATCTCTCCCTTTTTAGGGACCAGAGACACAGAGAAAGAGAGAGGAGAGAGACAAGGGATATTCTAATGAAGACTGCCTGATACTCCCCCCAAAAAATAATAATAAATTTTGGCTCTTGTCCCCTCCTCCACCCCCCACCCCCTCAAGCTTGTGTGAGATGTTGGGTTTCTTCGGGAGACACTGCTGAGAAGTCGCAGTGGTTGGAGAGGCATAGGGGGGTGGACTCCCTCTACCTCCACTCCCTCCCTCCCCCTTTTTTCTTTCTGGGAGGAGGTGGAGGAGGAGGAGGAGGAGGAGGAGGGGAAGGGGGGTTGCAGAGCAAGCGATGGATGAGGAAAACATGACGAAAAGCGAGGAACAGCAACCTCTGAGTTTGCAAAAAGCCTTGCAGCAGTGCGAGCTGGTTCAGAACATGATAGAGCTGAGCATCTCCAACCTGGAAGGGCTTAGGACCAAGTGTGCAGCTTCCAACGACCTCACGCAGAAGGAGATCAGGACCCTGGAGGTAGGTGTTGCCTGCGGTGGGGGTGGAGGGACAATTCTTCCTTCCTTTCCTCTTCTCCAGTCTGTCCCCTACCCCTTGGGATTCTGTTTGTTGAGGGAGGGCCTGGGGAGGGGAAGGGGTGAAGCAGGTGGACAACGAATGATGCGCTATGATTTATCACCTGGCAAAGCCAGCGAGGATGTCCCTTCCCTTCCCAGTGCGGCTGTTGTCTGTGCTCTGCCAGGAGGCGGTGGTGGCAGTGATAATTGCTGTTCTGTATTTATTATTACGGGTTGTAGCTGTTGCCATGATTATTCTTTTCCTGTGAGAGTAGGGAGTTCTTGTTATTATTGTTATTGGTGTTATTATTATTATTATTATTTTCTCTGGCTCTCTCTCAGGATTTGTTTATATGCCACGGGGGCTTGCGTGTTGGGTGATACATTAAGAGGCTGCAGGGAACCCACGTGACCTTGTGCGTTCTGCAGGTGGTCAAAGGTGGTTTTGACTGGCTGGATGGGTCTGCCTGAAGGGAAAGACTCAAGCCTTTGCTCTGCGTCTCATCCACCTTTCCCCAGTAAACACCTTAGGAAACTGTATGCATATATATAAAAAAATTCCCAGGGAAGTACCCATTTCTAATAGAATCATTTGATGTAAGGGGGTCGGAGCAGGCCCAAAATGTGTAAAAAGAAACAATGTTACGGTTGCCTGGAGTGGTTCTTGCACTAGGTGGCGTGGGAAAACCCTCTTGGGCTGTCTTGGTGAGACTTGGTGGATAGGGGTCTAGGAGGAGTTTAGGTTTGGCTAATGTAGCATCCAGTCTCCAGTAGAACTTGAGGGGAGTTGGAAGCAGTTTGCCGAAAGGCAGGTAGGGTTGGCTGCAAAGTTACCACAAAGAAAAGGAAGGAACTATTTTTCTTTAAAGGCCATTTTTCCCCCAGAGGAAGCTTTGGACGTTTTGGGAAAGGCCTGGTGCTCTGAAATCCTCCGGGCATCCACTTCGTTCCAAATGTCTCCAGATGGATTTAGTCCCTTCACCTTCCTTCCCTCAAAATGGCCCAGCTGTCCACATTGCTTGATTTAATTTGGGAATTCCCACTAGCTAGCATTTGCCAGGGAGTGGTGGCTGTGGGGCTCAGAGCAAAGGAGGGTGGGTTCCCCTTTTGGTGGCCTGGCTGTGTATGGTGGGACCTGGTGGTCCAGCTTGTGAGTTGCTGAAGCCTCAAGTCTTCAGTCTTTGCTGACCCGGTCATCTGCATGAGTGCGCCTCTGATTAGCTTGTCAGGCCTCTTATTTCTCCTCCATGGTTTTAAATTTGGTCAGACGTCGGTATGCTGCAGGGCGCTATCGTTTGAAGAGAGGAGTTCGTGTTTATTTTAATACAGCGCTTGCCACCCTCGGATATATGTCTGTGCTCACCTGTCAGGTGGTAACATGATCCCAGGGATGAAATAAGATAAATGTTACTGTGGGAAGTGTGTTGGGAGGCACAGGCATTGCCTTTCTCAGAGTTGGGGAGGGGGAGGGGAGGATGTGGTTTGGCTAACGTTTAAAAGTGTGGGATGTGTTAGCCCAGCCCTGGTCTCTCTCTGCATAGGGCCCAGAAAAGATTTGGTTGGGAACTATACACAGGAAAGCTTATGTAGATAGCCCCTGATGGCCGCCACCCTCTGCCACCAGGAGCCCCCCATGGTTAGGCTGATTATTACAGCATGAGATGCTTAGAACTTTCCTTCTGTTCTTTTCTATGGTGTTTCAGCCTCAGATCCCTGACTCCCTGGAGAGGGCGACTAACCCAGCTGGGCGTTCTGTGGCTGGGGATTGTAGCTCAGTGGTAGAATGCTTCTGCCCCAGTCCCTGGGTTCAACCCCCAGCGCTGTGCAAACACACAAACAAACAGAAGGTACTTGGTTCCGTTTTGTCTCTCCGAAAAGTGTTTTATAATTGAAACTTGGGGGATGGAGTGCTGATGTGCTGGCCAGGAAGTGGGAATCATAGCTGTCTTAGCTGGGGTTATGAGTGCTGTGATGAAACATGTGGCAAAGGTGAGTTGGGGAGGAGAGGGTTTATTCCTCATCAAAGGAAGCCAGGGCAGGAGCTCAAGCAGGGCAGGAGCCTGGAGGCAGGAGCAGGTGCAGAGGCCACGGAGGGATGCTGCTCACTGGCTTACTCCCTGTGTCTTGCTCAGCCAGCTTTCTTATAGAACCCAGGGCCACCACCCCAGGGATGGCCCCACCCACAATGAGCTGATCCCTCCCCCATCCATCACTAATTAGGGAAATGCCCGACAGCAGGATCTTATGGAGACATTTTCTCAATTGAAGTTCCTTCCTTTCAGATAACTCAAGCTTGTGTCAAGTTGATGTGAAACTAGCCAGCACAATAGGGAGTACATTTTTTTTCCTAAATCTTGAGGTCTGAGGGCAGTGCAGGCCACACCCACCCCTTGATCCATATTGCCCAGTGACTGTTCTGGAGCAATTATGCCAATTTTCACTTCCTAGTTCCCTAGGACCAGGGCGTAGGAGAGGAGCACTGGGGAGGGTATGGTCCTACCAGACTTCATATTTGCATTCACCAAGTTTTCAGCTCTAACAGCTATCAGATCCGATATCCGAAAGCCTCACTGTGATGCTGGCTGAAGTGTGGATTCCCAGCATCTAATGGCCACATTCTAATTTAGCTGAAATTAGACAGAGGGCCCAGGAATCTGCATTTAGTAAGCAGACAGCATGCTTCTGTGTGTAATTTTTCTTTGGTGGTGTTGGGAGTTGAACCCAGGACCTTGTGAATGTTAGACGAGGGCTTTGCCACTGACTACATCCCCAGCTCCCAGACCTTGTGTTTCTGATTCAGGTTTTGATAGGGACTTTATGAATTACTAATCCAAGCTGGGTGTGGTGGTGCACACCTGTAATCCTAGCACTTGGGATGCTGAGAGGGGAGAAGGGATCATCCAGGGCCAGCCTGGGCCATATAATGACACTGTGCCTGAAATTAAAAAGGAAAGGAGGGCTGGGCTGTAGCTCAGTGGCGGAGATCTTGCTTAATATATTTTGTTCAGCCTCTAACTTTGAAAAACAAAAACAAAAACAAAACCACAAAACCCAAGCAACAGCAACAACAAAAAGAAAATGACAATAACAAAACTCCAGATCCGTTAGGACCTAAATGCTGTGTTCCAGCTGTTTGTTTTAAACTCCTCTTGAATTATTGTTAGTGTGCAAGTGAGTACAGGTGCTCGCTCTACTTTGGGTTTCAGGGATTGAACTCAGGTCATCAAGTTTTCAAGGCCAGTGTTTTTACTCACCAGGTAATCTTGCCAGCCCCTATGTATATTTGGGTGGTTTATTTGACTCGTGGCTCTGGTCAAAGGTTGTGCGTCTGATGGCTGTATCCATCTTGCAGCCAGCATCCCAAGGTGGCTCAAGGTACCACATGTTGAGAGACAAGTTCCCCATTGTTTCTGCTATTGAATGGTGACAATTCCCTGCTCACAGGCACTGAAGTTGCTAAGAGTTTGAACAGACCATCCTGAAGACATTGACAATAATTAGTGCACACTCCTGCAGAAACAAAAATACGCAACATGAACTTGGCCTTAACAAAACATGCTTCTGAGGCAGGGAGGAAATGGTGACCACAGCAAAGTGACAATAAAGGCCAAAAACTCAATCCTTTGGAAGATGGTGGAGGAAGTTCTGATGGCCTTTCTGTAATGGTTATAAGACTGGCTTCCACAGCTCCAGCTGTCACTGCTCCATTCAAGGCAGGAAAGAGGAGAAACCTGTGAGTGTGGAGGAATGGAAGTTCAGATTTTTAGCTTCAGGAAACAAAGGCTTTCGAATGGTGACCCTCCTTCCTACCAGCAATGTTCAATTATGTTTTCTTGGCCACAGTAGGGTCAAATATTCTAGCTGCAAGGGAGGCTGGACAGCAAGAAGTAGGAAAGCCATCATTTTCCTTGCCTGGGATGAGCTCTGTGCTGAACCATATCATGTCAAGGTTCGGCTTTCCCAGGGGAAGGTACCAATTGATGTTATTGGCTGGGCTACCAGTAACACCATCCTTGTAGTTTCTGATAGGTATTTTGACGGAGAAGAAGTTCCACATACTTTGTAGTTTGAAGCAGGTTGGCTTCCTAGCTGTTCTACTTTATCTGGAATACAAATGTAAACATTTTAACCGAAACTGACAATTGTATGATAATAACTCCTTCGTCAGTGGGTGGGTGCAAGGATCACCAAGGGTGCGAAAGTATCAAGCAGGCACCAAGCAGACAGTAGTTTCAGGCAGCACATGCTAGTGACTTTCCATTTGCTGTGACTGATACTGATGGAAACCACTTAGAAAAGGAAGGGTTTGTTGTGGTGCTTTTGTTTTTATTTTTATTCATTTATCTTGTACTTTTTCCACTTAAAAATTTCGAAATAAAATCACATCACTCTTCCTCATTCTCTTTCCCCCCTCCAGCTACTCCCAGCTACCCTCCTGAGATGCAAAGAGTTATTTTGCCTTTAAAAAGGGACACAAGCCAGGCATGGTGGCACATGCCTTTAATTCTAACACCAAGGATGCAGAGGCAGGTGAATCTCTGTTGAGTTCCATGCTAGCCAGAGTTATATAGTGAGTCCCTGTCTCAAAGAAACAAAAACAACAGCCTATCAGGATGAGAAAGCATGGCGAAAGAAACATAAGTTAGCTGTTCATGTTTCATCTGTAGACAGGAAACAGAGAGCAGACATCAAACTTCAAGACTTACCCCGAAGTGACTCACTTCCATCCACAAAGCAGTGGTTTAAAAAGCAGTGGTTTTCAACCTGTGGGTTGCAACCCCTTTACCCCTTTGGCATCGTATATCCTGCATATCAGATATTTACATCGAGAGTCATAACAGTAGCAAAATTACAGTTACGAAGTAGCAATGAAATAATTTTATGGTTAGGGGTCACCACATGAGTAGTTTACTCACGTGTCAAAGGGTCACATCATTAGGAAGGATGACCACCTTTTTAAAG